TTCAGAAGATTGAGATTCCTGAGTGGAAGTGGGAGCTGATCACTATGGACTTCGTTGTTGGACTCCCACGGACTTAGAGGAAGTTCGATGCAGTATGGGTTATTGTTGATAGGATGACCAAGTCAGCGCATTTCATTCTTGTGGCGGTTTCATATTCTTCTGAGCGGTTGGCAGAGATCTATATTAGGGAGATCGTTCATCTTCATGGTATGCGTGTGTCTATCATTTCTGACTGGGGTACGCATTTTACCTCGCACTTTTGGAGGGCAGTTCAGCATGAGTTGGGCACACGAGTCGAGTTGAACACATCATTTCATCCCCAGACAGACGGACAGTCCGAGCGTACTATTCAAATTTTGGAGGATATGCTCCAAGCATGTGTTATTGATTTTGGAAGTTCTTGGGATCAGTTCTTGCCATTAATAGAGTTTGCCTACACCAATATCTACCAGTTGAGCATTCAGATGGCTCCCTATAAGGCATTATATGGTAGGCGGTGTCGGTCGCCGGTAGGGTGGTTTGAGCCGGGAGAGGCTTGGTTGTTGGGTACAGATTTAGTTCAGGATGCCTTGGATAAGGTGAAGATCATTCAGGATAGGCTTCGTACAGCTCAGTCCAGGTAGAAGAGTTATGCCGACCGTAAGGTTCGTGACATGGCATTCATGGTCGGAGAGCGGGTGTTGCTCCAGGTGTCGCCCATAAAGGGCGTGATAAGATTTGGGAAGAAGGGTAAGCTAAGCCTTAGATTCATTAGTCCTTTTGAGATTTTTGATCGAGTGGGAGAGGTGGCTTACAAACTTGCATTGTCACCGAGTTTATCAGTTGTGCACCCAGTGTTTCATGTGTCCATGCTTCAGAAGTATCACGACGATCCATCCCACGTGTTAGACTTTAGAACTGTCCAGTTGGCCAAGGACTTGACCTATAAAGAGGAACCGGTAGCTATTCTAGACCGGTAGGTTCGTTAGTTAAGATCGAAGAAGTTCCCTTCAGTTCATGTATAGTGGAGAGGTCAGCCTGTGAGGCAGCTACCTGGGAGTCCGAGTTCGATATGCGGAGCCGATATCCCCATTTTTCCCTGACTCAGGTACTTCCTTTCTATGTCTGTTCGAGGACGAATAGTTGTTTTAAAGGTGGAGGATGTGATGAACCAGAAGGTCATCACTTGATTGCAAATCAATTCTGCGTTCCAAGGCCTTAAAACCTCCTTTTGTCTCACCTCAATTTGCTTACGCGGTCCGGGCATATATCCGGAATGCTTTTATGTGAAAATTTGATAAAAATGCTAATTTTGCCTTTAAAATTGAATTTAAATTGACTTCGGTCAATATTTTAGGTAAACGGATCCAGATCCGTGATTTGGCCGTCCCGGAGGGTCTGTAGAAAAATATGGGACTTGGGCGTATGCCCGAAATTGGATTCCGAGGTCTCAAGCCCGATAAATGAATTTTTGAAGAAAATTGTTTAATTGAAATTTTAAGAGTATTTAGAAATTTAAATGTGTTTGAATTTGATGGTATCGGGCCCGTATTTTGGTTCCGGAGTCTAGTACAGGTCTTATATGGTATTTAAGTTGTGCCTATAAAATTTGGTAAGAAACAAACTTCATATAACGTGAATCGGACCCTCGGTTTGCGAAAATTTGAACTTAAGAGTTATTGAGACTTTTCTTGGATTTTGATGCTAAACTCGTAGTTCAAGGCATTATTTTGGCGATTTGATCGCACGAGTAAGTCTGCATGATATTTTTAGGGTTGTGTGCATGTTTGGTTTGGACCCCCGAAGGCTCGGATGAGTTTCGGATAGGCCATCGGATGTTTTTACACTTAGGAAAATTGCAGGTTTTGCTGCTTCTGATGCACAGACATTTTGTGCTTTGCGATCGTGTAGTAACTCTCGGGATCGCGAAAGGGAACTGGGCTGGGGGTGGAATTTGTTTTATGCGAACGCGAAGACAGGGACGCGAACGCGGAGCACTGGCGGGCTGCTCTACGCGAACGTGACCGTGTCCCGCGAATGCATATAGTAAATTGGAGGTGGGCTGGGGAGTTGCCATTTCTTCTACGCGAATGCGTATGCCTGTCCGCGAACGCGAAGGTCAGGGGGGCTTACCCTTCACGAACGCGTAGGAGAACTCGCGATCGCGTAAGTCCTCAACGGGTAGCTCTTCGCGAACGTGGCAGGTCCATCGCGAATGCGATGAAGGCCTACCCAGTCTTTTAAAATAGTAGCAAATCGGGAAAAAGCCATATTTTCACATCTCCTTCCCCAAAATCAGAACCTAGGCGATTTTTGAATAGCAAAATCAACCCCAAATCATAGGTATGTGTTCCTAAACCCATCTCCTTCATTTTTTATCAACACCCATTAGATTTCTAGGCCTAAATATTGTTCTTCCATGGTAGAATTAGGAATTTTGGGTAGAATTAGGGCTTTTTGGATAATTGAAATTTAGACCTCATTTTGGGATTGGATTTCGAAACTAATTGCATATTCGGGCTCGTGGGTAAATGGGTGGTCGGGTTTTGGTTCGAACCTCGAGTTTTGACCAAGCGGGCCCGGGGTCGATTTTTGACTTTTTGGGAAAAATGATAGAAAACTTATAATTAAGCATTGAGTATGAATTCTTTAGCATTTATTGATGTTGTTAAATTAATTTGGATTAGATACATGTAAATTGGAGGCAAATTCTAAAGGAAAAGCGGTGTTTGAGGCTTGAGTTGGTCGTGGAAGTTCGAGGTAAGTGTTTGGTCTTACCTTAGCTTGAGGGAATAGGTATTGTGCTTTATTTGCTATGTGCTAGTGTAGTGTACGACGTATAAGTATGGTGACGAGTATTTATACATCGATGTCAAGCATTCCCGTGAGTCTTAAATTGTGATCGTTGTGTTTCTTAATAAGTACTACAAATGCCTAAATTGTTGATTCTCCATGTGGAGCGAGACTTATGATTATCTTCGTGGTATTTATTTATTGTTGAGCCTTGGCTCCAGTTGAGGTTTCATTTGTGAAGTTAATTGTTGGTACAAGTTTGGTTATAGCTGATTCCCTTGCTGGGACATATTTATTTCTTACTGTTGATTCCCTTGCCGGGATGTGTTTATTCTTGTTGTTGATTCCCTTGCCGGGATGTGTTTATTCTTGTTGTTGATTCCCTTGCCAGGATATGTTTATTCTTGTTGTTGCTATTGTTTGGGTGAGGAAAGAGAGATAAAGCACGAAGGATGATGTCGTGTACATTCATATTTATGCATATGGTGAGGAAAGAGTGATAAAGCACGAAGAGTGATGCCGTGTACATTTTCATTGATATTGATGCATGTGGTGAGGAAGAGAGATAAAGCACGAAGGGTGATACCGTGCACATTTCTAATATTTACATGGTGAGTAAGAGAGATAAAGCATGAAGGGTGATGCCGTGCACATTTTCATTACTTGATTGCATTGGTGAGGATTGAGAATAAAAGCACGAAGGGTGATACCGTGCACTTATTGCTTGTTTGTTATAATTTCTTGCTGTTTTCAGCTCAAGTACCTTTAATTGTCTTATTCCATTATTACTGTGATTCTTTACGTCGGTATTCCCCCCATAGCATGTTACCCCTTCCCCGTTACTCTTAACTTACTTCTATTACTGTTATTCTGCTAGATACTATTTCACTGCAGGTTATGGATGTTTGTTGTGTCCTAGCCTCGTCACTACTTCGCCGAGGTTAGACTCGACACTTACTCAGTACATGGGGTCGGTTGTACTGATACTACACTCTGCACTCTTTTGTGCAGATCCCGGTACTAGAGCATACGGACCTTAGCTAGGGGTTGTTGCCTTCAGTCCATTAGGAGACCCGAGGTAGTCCTGCAGGCGTCCGCAGGCCTTGGCGTCCCCTTCCTATCTAGTTTCTTTCTGCTCTTTACTATTTCAGAGACAGACATGTATTTATTTTGTTCGGACCCTATTTGTAGATAGTCCGTGAGATTGTGATACAAGTTCTGGGCGGTTTATGTTTATGGATTCGTATTGGTATTAGCTTAATTGTTAAATTTCGTTCTTCCGCATCGTTATTTCCGCTATTTATAATATGTTAACTTGCAATTGTTAAGAGGTTAAAAATAAAAAGGGTAAATTAATCGGAATACTTGGCTTGCCTTGCTTTCACTAGTAGGCGCTATCACAACTCCCGAGGGTGGAAAATCCGGATCGTGACAATTTAAACAGTGGCTTAAAAGTATTTGGGCCTCATTTCAACGGTTGGACATTCATGGGCAAAAAATTAGAAATAACATGGTTTACAACTAGTAATTGAAAAATAGTCATAGTTTTAAAAGTAATGAAAATTTATTCATTTTTGCGTAAAGATAAAATCTGAACAAAAATACACTTACAATTTTGAAAAAATTTTGACATAATATTACAGAGTTGGAATATTTTATATATGAGATTCCAGCGTAATATTCCGACATGTGCTGGAATTTCATAATATGTTGGAGTTCCAATATAATAAGTTGAAAGTTTATACGCAGGAACTCCATAATCCAAAACCTTTCGTCTTTCAACTCTTTGTCCAGATTTTGTGACAATTTTTTAATAACTTTGCAAACTTTAGCTATTTTTCGATTATCGATCCGAAACCGACTATTTTCACATATTCATGCTTAAACAAAACATTGGGTAAAATTAAAAATAGCCAGATATACATGTGATAATTGAAAAATAGCCACAGTTAAAAGTAATAGAAATTTAGCCGTTTTTCATGTACAAATAAATTTGAACAAAAATACTGTTCAAAATGCGGAAAATATTCCAACATAATATACTAGAGTTCCAGTATAATATACTACTAGACTTCCAACATAATATACTAAAGTTCCAGTATAATATACTAGAGTTTCAGCATAATATAGTGGTCCAATTATGCTGGAAGTTCATACACAGGTACTCAAATATCTAGTATATTACACTGAAACTTATATTAGTGTAAAATAGTCACTATTTTTGATTGAATTTACAAACACAAGAAAATCGTCCTTCCGAACTATTTTCACCAAAACAAATGAACGCAAGCTCGACCCAAAATTCCCATTGCATTTAGCTTCAATTTCTGCGAGATTTTCTCTACCAGGTCGCTAAAACTCCTCAGCCCTGCCGCTAATTAGCTGCTCATATTCACCTCTCAAGCAGAATTAGGTATGTTTTTTCTCTATCGAGCTTTGTCTCTATAATCCATTTTTATGTGTCTAGTTAGCAAAAACCCTTATCCCCTTTTTGCATTTAATTTTAATGGTAAAGCACAAATTTTAGTGAATCGGACCATAATCTTGTTTTTATTTCCTGTTAGTTTACTTCCCTTGTTATAATGGCTTGAAATTGCGGTGGTACTAATTTGACTTTACGTACTAAGAATCAATTTTTTAAAAATTTGAAAATGATTAATTAAAAGAACCTTACTTAGCTGGGGTTTAACCTAACTGTTATTCCTTAAAAGAGATGAAGAAGCAATGCTCCATATTTGGAGAGATATTAATAGCAGAGTTATAAGTCATTGCTTCGTCTCTTAAAGCGATGAAGCCGAGTGGAGCGAGGGGTCACCAGTTCATGGGCTAGGCAATGTGCTTTGAATATTGCGTGCTTCAAACAATAATGTGCAAAGTGATCCCAACGCAAATAGATCGATAGTTTGGATCTCAACTTTGAAAGTTGGGTTAATATTGGCACTATTTTATATTTTAATGTTGAAATTAGTTAGTTTGATTAAAATTTGATTATTATAGTACTAAATTCATATATGTATGGTACTTTTTGTTTTTTAATTAAATTGTTCCCTTCATGTTACAGAAGCATGTGCTTCACTTCTCGCTTTTTGTTTCAAGCCCTAAAAACCTTGTCGCTTTTTTGCGCTTTCAAAAACACTGACTAATATAGCCAAATGTATCAACTTATGCATGACAGGTTTGCGTGATGTGATAAGCTGTTTCAATAGCTTGTAGAATTATGAAAACGAGTGTTCTATTGAATGTGCAGTTTTATGGCTATAACCAAAATGTACACCAGGTTGGTTATGACGACTAGAGTAGGTTGTGGTTGTGTGCTGATGGAAAATGTCCTTTTGTTTTAGGGGGTTTCTTCCTTTTGTCTTTCTTTTTGCACGAAAATGTTTGAGAACATGAGGAGTGGGGGAAAGGAAAACAATGCTTTCTTTCTTTTTATATCATGCTTTAAAGGTGAAGTAATCCTTGATTCCTTGGGTGACTGAAGTCAGGAAACCATTGTGAATTTGATTTTTGGGCNGGAAACCATTGTGAATTTGATTTTTGGGTAGTCAGTTTCATAGCTTACCTCATAAGGTTTCCTTTCTGTTTTCCTGGTTAGGCAGTTATACTTCGGGATTGGCGCAGTCTTGGTTGCTTTTATGTAGGTGGTTTGAGAACACGATGAGTACAGATGAGGCATCAAAGAGAACTTCCTCCCATCCTCAATTGGTTGTGTTGAATAGGTCATTTAACTTGGTGAGAATTCCTGTCTGAGCTTATTTAGGATGTAAGTAAGATGTGTTTAATTACTTATGGATGATTGGTATGCTTCCTTTTGACTTGGTTAGGGTGAATGAGTGTTAGATTCAAATCGGCAATCAGCAACCGATTCAAAGTCTTGAGTGTGCAGCAACTAGAAATTTTGGTTCTTACCCAATTTAGAATAGGAGATCTTAGGATTTTTTTATTAAGCAATGAGGTGACAAAGTGGATTCAAGGTTATGTATATCAACGGGGCTAGTGTATATCAAAGAAAAGCAGGGAACTCACATTTTTTCCTCTTCTACTCTTCTTTTAGAAATCACTGACTATTGCATGCTCCTTGTTTGCTACTTCCAAAAGTCAGAAAAAGTTGGATATTTCTCACATCAGTTCTCTTTGCTTATGATTTTTGTTTTTAGCTTTTCGTAAGTTTAATACTTTCCTGCTATATCTTTGTGAAGATATGAATTTTATTGGCTTTTACTCTTGGTCTCTTGCTAGGTGTAAAAGCAAACGAGAGCTCTACTTCTCACCTGACTCTTTTTTCTTCTCCGACACTCCTCTCTTTTTGACCATTCTGGTTTTTGAAGCTTCTCTTCTTCAGAGAGGAATTTGGAGATGGGGTTTGATGAAATGGAACCAATTTTTGGGAGGGTAAATGCAGAGTGGTCAGCCCCTCACAAAACCCCATTGAAGCCTTTCCTCTTTCATGTTCACGGGTTGCCAAGTGATCCCTCTACTCTTCGTGTCTGTGCCACTGACTTCCATTCAAATACATGGGACTCTTTGAAGTCTGCCCAGGAGCTTGAAGGTATGAGGGACAGAACTGGTATAGGAGGCTCTTGGTCTGACTTTGTAGATTACCTTATAGCTTCCGTAAAGTCTGAAGATGTGAAGCTTGTCATGGATGGACACTCAAAACTTGGAGGTGCTGCACATGCAAAATTGGTTGCTCAAAAAGCAAAGGGGATGCCAAGAATCGCTATATCACTTAGTAAACTTGTGGATACTTCAGCAACTGAGGCAATGGCAAATATTTCTCTGGAGCTCTACAAAACCTTTACAAATGTACATAATTTGCTTAAAACTGAACAAAAACAATGCTCTGAGTTGACAAATGTTTTGTCAGAAGAAAAGCAGGAAAAGAATGAAACTGGTCAGTACTCAAAAAGACAGAAATTGCAGAAGATTACTGAGAAAACAGCCTCAGATATTGCAACCGTCCGTATCTCACTGGAGTCTCCAGATAAGCAAGCAGCACAACCTCCCTCTACAAAGGTGACTAACCGTGTGGTACCAGCGCATCGTAGGGCCAGAGTCCGAGGTGTTCTTTTGCATGATACTGAAGATGAGACACAAGATTAGGAAACACTGTCCTTTATCTCCGCGATTGATGCGAAGCAATTATGCATCTGCTCTTTTCTGTAAATATACAGCTGTATGATCGAAAATATGGCAGATCTAGGCAAGACAAGGTGTATTATGTTAAAGTCGAGATTTCTTTTGGATGGGAGTTGTTAGGCTCAAAGAGAAACAATTAAGTCAATGTGCAAAGCAGTCTTTGTTTATTGCCTCATTGAAACACTTCTATATTTCCAGGTTAGGCAATGTATTGATCTTAGGTTACTACTTGTATAGAGCTTTTAATTTCTGATGAAGCAGATTTTGGTATGTTGATGTTAGAGTGGGTGTTAAGTCCCACATTGGTTGAGGAATGACTTGATAGTCTTGGACAATCCTTCCGTCTTGAGTTAGCTTTTGGGATTGAGTTAAGCCCAAGTTTCATATCTTCACATGGTATCAGAGTCACACCCATCCTTATTCTCTCAATTTAGTAGTAAAACAAATCTGGTTCAGGTATCTAATAGATGAACTGCAGGTAGGTTCCATCTGCTACTGGGTTCTACAACAACTGTGTCAAGGTATTATTTTCTTTCTATACCATTGTAAACTGGGTTCTACAACAACTGTGTCAAGGTATTATTTTCTTTCTATACCATTGTAAACTGGGTTCTACAACAACTGTGTCAAGGTATTATTTTCTTTCTATACCATTGTAAACTGGGTTCTACAACAACTGTGTCAAGGTATTATTTTCTTTCTATACCATTGTAAACTGGGTTCTACAACAACTGTGTCAAGGTATTATTTTCTTTCTATACCATTGTAAACTGGGTTCTACAACAACTGTGTCAAGGTATTATTTTCTTTCTATACCATTGTAACAGTTAAAACGACCTTTTCTTTAGGAATAGGAAAGCTATCCAGAAAAACTGAAAAGAAAAGTAATAAAGTTATCCAACAGAATTTGGAATGTAAATGGATAAAAAGAATGGCCCTTGTCCAACACCCAAAAGTTCATAGCCCATCTCCCATGCAAAAAAAGAAGTGATGAAACTAGTGGTAAAAGATGTTCTGAACATGTGGGAGCAACACACGTTAAGTAATAGAGTTAGAATGTCCCAAATTGGTTGAGGAAATGTGTTATCTTACATGATCTTGGGTCATTGTCACATGATCTAACTTCTGGATTCAAGTTAGACCTAAGGTTTATTTTCTTAACAAGTAGACTCTTGCATCTTGTCTTTGCCAGGTTACAAACAACTGAATGAACTCTACTATGTTAGATTTTTACAGTTGGAGCTAACATCTTAATTCTGTAAATGTGATTAGATAGAAAGTGGAATTTCTTGCATCCAAGGTTGTGGCTTGTGACCTAATAGTCAATAAAGTGGGTTGAGAACCATGAGGTCTCAGTTCAAATCTCAGATAGCAAGTACTCCTTGAATTTAGTCGAGGTACGCGCAAGCTGGCTTGGATGCCATGGTTATATAGAAAAAATGGACTTTCCTTATCTCTGGTGCCTAATATTAGCTGTTTTTTGCCATGGAAGTCTGTCTTACTAGTTTTACATAGAACTTCAGTAGTATTGTTAGGAAAAAAAAACATGTATTTGAACTTTTTGGTAGTTTCATACTTTCAAGCGAAAGCTAGATAATCAGGAGAGAAATTGACATTTCACAGCCCTTCGCTCCCATGTATGAGAAGAGATGTGTACTCGACTTCAACCAGAGTTCAGTGACTCCCCTTTTGTTAGTTTTAAGTTTTAACAATGACATGCTACACTAATCTACATCATTCCCAATATCACTCTTGGTTGGAAATAATTTATCCACATTTCTGAGTCCTGAATATTGTTCAAGCTCAAAGTTTATATCATTTACTAACTTCCTTTTTAATGGTGGTGTTCGGACTAGTTTGCGAGCACCTTGTCTATTCCACTAGGTACTTATCTTCCACTTTCCAAGAGTAGTTTTTCCTATTTCTTTTGCTTCAGTCTTTTTGTTATCCTGATGTCATTAGTACTACTTTGTGTTAGTGACTCCGTTTCATGGTTTATACACTATTATTTCTTTTTTAACAAATAATGTGACTATACTTCTCCGGTCTCTCTACTTCACAAGATAGGAGTAATGATACATATCTCACTTGTTGAATTATACTGGATTTGTTATTCTTTTGCAAAGTATTACGAATATAATAGAGTTTGAATTATTTTTGAACTAGTAAAATGTACAAAAATAGATTTTTGTTGTTTAGTTTTCTAGAAAACTTATGGGACATTTTTGAAAAACTTGTTTGGTCTTCAAACCAAACAAAATTTGAACTTTTTGAGAGAAACTGTCAAATCCAACCAGAGTACACTTTCATCTTGCGGACATATAATTATGTCTTGGTAATTCGAGTCCGGAACCGAAATGTGGGTTTTTTTGGATTCAAAACACTTTTTTGAGGGTAAGAAAAAGAAGTTACATTTCCGCGTTTTATATAAACGCTTTAGCATACCGCGTTTTACCTTTAGGTGATATAACAACTATATAAAATGCGGTTTATTACTGCGTTTTATATAAAACGCTTTAATTAACCATGTTTTATGTATTTTGTGGGCCCACCAATAACTCTTCTGCACTTAACTGACATAACAATAATTCAAATATGTAAAACGCCCTTTTAAACCGCGTTTTACTTCCAAAAATTTGATCCCCCAGATTGGGCATTGCCTTATTTAAAGGCGTTAAGGGTTTTGAGAAAAATCATTCAGAAACACTCCAACTTCGTGATAATTTTTTTTTGTTGTTAAATTCTCAAGCTTTTTTCATAATGTCTAAAGAGCGAAAAGTAAGGGTTTCA